TGGGTGCAAGCACTTGGGCCATCTTCCATTGCTTTCTCTGGTGCATTAGCAGGGAGCTGGACAAGAAGTGGAACAGCTGGGTCTTGAACTGGAACCCATATGGGATGCCAGCATTGCAGGCTGATGCTTAACCTTCTGTGCCACAATGCTGGCCCCATCCATGAATTCTCTCTCTTTAAGATTTATTTATTTGAAAGGCAGAGTTACAGAGTTACAGAGTTACAGAGGCAGAGAGAGAGAGAGAGAGAAAGAATCTTCCATCCGCTGGTTCACTCCCCAAGTGGCTGCAACAGCCGGAGCTGGGCCAATCCAAAGCCAGCAGCCAGGAGCTTCCTCTGGGACTCCCACGTGGGTGCAGGGGCCCAAGGACTTGGGCCAACCTCTACTGCTTTTCCAGGCCACGGCAGAGAGCTGGATCAGAAGTGGAGCAGCTGGGTCTTGAACCAGCGCCTATATCGGATGCTGGCATTGCAGGTGGCAGCTTTACCCGCTAAGCCACAGCGCCGGCCCCCCATGAACTCTTGCATTCACGACTTGAGACTCGTGTTCCCACCTGGGCCTGCCTCCTTGTGCAGCACACAGCACCAGGCACAACGGTCTCTTGTTTCTCTGCTTCAAGCTGGCAGATTTGAGCTCACCACGCAGGAATTCCCACGGCGACACAAGGACCTTGGTTGCACTTAGGACATTCCTGCCAGGTGCCTCATGCCTGTGGCGGCTCCCCTGGGTGGATCTGAGAACTGGCGACAGCTCAGGAGTGTTGGTTTTCCTGGGCGCAGCCGCTCTGCTGGGGTGTGGCTGCAGACGCCAGGTTCCAGCTCCCTCATGCACCTGCTTGCGGCTGGCACTGCCACAGTTAACACTGTGTGTGGCCATGACCCTCGGCCCAGTGTGTGTGTCCTGCGAGTGAAGAGACGGGTCTGCGTTTGCTCACACAGCCCCCGTGCATGGAATATTCTAGGTGCTCAATAAACAAGGGCAGGATGAATGAGTGAGCCACCACCCCCTGGGGAGAAGATTCCAGATGTACTGGATGGAGAAGAAAACGCAGCTCATCTGCAGGACAGGGGAGGGCGCCAGTGAGGCGGCCCAGTCTCAGGTCCTCCCTGCACTCTGGGCAGCAGCTGGGGGCCGGGGGAGCTTTAGGTCTTGACCTCGGTGGTGCTCTCTGGACAGGAAGACATGTTTGTTTCCTCAGCGTGGGATGGACAAGCTACGGTTTCCTTCACCCTGGTTCCTTGTGCTCCGTGCCAGCCATCTTTGCGACACAGCTTCCGCCCTAACACACGGGAGACGAGCTGAGATGTCCGGCTTCCTAACCAGCACAGGGCTCCCCGCAGAGCCTCAACTCCTGCCTTCCTCCCCCAGGAAACCCCGTCCTCTGTCCCCCAGAGGGGACCCAGATGAAGCAGCCAGGCCAGGAATCATTGCCCAGGAGCCACTGCGGCTGCAACAGTGGACAACTGAGCAGTGGACACTGCCAGCAAGAAGCAGCTGGTTGGCCTGCCTCATTTTGGGGGTTATTTTTCTTTAATGGTGTGACTTCCCCTTTCCAGTTCCAGCTCAAAAAGCTTATGCTGTGGGCTGGGGCGTATGGCATAGCAGGTTAAGCTGCCGCCTGCAATGTCGGAGTCCCATGGGTACCGGTTCAAGTCCCACCTGTTCCACTTCTGATCCAGCTCCCTGCTGGATGTGCCTGGGAAAGCAGTGGAAGATGGGAAGATGGCCCCTGCCACCCACATGGGGGACTCGGAAGAAGTGTCTGGCTCCTGGCTTCTGCACGGCCCAGCCCTGGCCACTGAGGTCATTTGGGGAGAGAACTAGCAGATGGGAAATTCTCTCTCTCTCTCCCTTCCTCCCTCTCTCTAACTCTACTTGTCAAATAAATAAATAAAATCTTAAAATTAAAAAAAAAAAAAAAGGTGGTTTGCCCCTGGCCTGATGTCCAAAGCCAGAACATATCTGAACCTGAGCCTTGTATCTCCCTGCCCCGTGCTGCCAGCCATGTCTGGCGTGCAGAGGCCAAGTGGAGGGTCGCCTGCTGCTGCCTTGACCTGCAGCTCTGCCCTCCTGGGAGGAGGCCCAGGGTGCACCCAGCCACCCTGCTCCTAGCCACCAGCAGGGCCAGCACAGCACTGACACTCTGTGTTGTTCCAGCCCAACGTAAACACACACACCCACTTCCGCTGGTCTTAGGAAACAGAAACCGAGCAGATCTAACACAGGAGGAGCATCGACCTGGGAGACTCTGGGAGACGGGGCTGGCTCCGCCGTGCAGACGCCTGGGTGCTGCTGGCCTTCTCCATCTCCTGTCCTTGGGGTGAACACGGGATACGGATCCGACATGTGCCCCCTCTGACATAGGGATCTGATATGGGATACGGATCTGACGTCTGCGCCCCACGTGTCAGAGACGTCTCCGCAGGCTGAGAACCCACAGGGGAGAACTGCAGGTCAGTGCTCCCCACACGTGCAATCGGCCAGCCTCTGTCAGACAAGCCACTGACTCAGGGAAGAACAGACGCCAAGCTGCTTGGCCAGGGTGAGCTGCAAAACCGGCCTGGTCCGTACGGGTCTCCAAGGGCAGGCTCAAGCACGGAGCAGGACGTGGACGTGGTTCTGAGCCTTTTCCGCTAAAACTCGGAGCTAACAATGGAGAGGGAGCCTGAGCACAGGAAGGGGCCCAGAGCTCCTCCACCACCGCTCTCCACCCAGGGGCCCAGGGAGACACAGCAGCGGCTCCCTCCCCCGACAGAGGAGAGCGCGGTAGGGGCGGGGTCCGGGCAAGCCGCCCACCAGGCCCGCAGTTACAAGGAGATGACCCACCTTGTGTCATCAGGCCCCGGAGCACTCATCCCTCCGCTACCGACCGTGTGTTATGTGAGCAAATGTCTCTCTCACTGACTGAAAAGCGTGGGACAGGGTGGGCAGGGGCACAGTGCTTAAGTCGCCACCTGGGACACCTGCAAATGCATCCGAGTGCCAGGACAGAGACCGGGCTGTGCCGCGACTCCAGCTTCCTGTTAACGTGCACCTGCCATGCACGAGGGAGGCCGGGACTGAGGTCCCAGCACCCAGTTTTGTCTTGTGGGTATCTGGGAAGCCAACTGGCAGATGGGCGTTATACCTCCTGGTTTGTCTCTCAAATAAATCATTTTTTACAAAGTAAAGCCACAGCCTTTTGTCAACTAGGAACACACACTTTTCCCCAGAAAAGCAAACACTGGAGAGGACGGTGCAGAAGGATGATTCTGCGTTAACTTCATGGTGGAAGATGCCTCCTCCTGAGCTCCGCTGCTGGCGCTGCCCGAGCGTGAGGATGACACGGACTCGAAGGAGACGCGGACTCGGAGACGCAGCCGCGAGGGAGACGCGCCAGGGCAGCGGCCTCAGTGAGCAGGAAACCCTCAGCCCACACCTACTGCCCCCAGGTTATCTTCCCGATAGCACAGAAAGCTCTGGCCGGATTTTCCAACGGGCAGTCCTGGGACCTGGGCAGCCGAGTGTCTTCCTCCTGCTGCCTGGCTGGTTCCGGGGGCTCGGCTGGGAGCAGCGAGGCTCCTGTCTGTGGGGAAGGCGCAAGTGCACAGCCTCTCACGCGTCTCACGGCCGGCCTCCAGGAAAAGGGGAGACAAACACAGGCACCTGTGAGACCAGGTGGCACAGACGCCTGTGTGCAGAGACGGGTGTCTGCCACCAACACCGACGCCCACACCCATTCCTGGGAGAAACAGCCTCTTGCCTCCCCCTCCCCCCCCAGGGCCTGTCCTGGCTCTCCCTCTCCAAGGGCAGAGCAGAGAGAAATGTGTCTCTGGCACAGCAGAGGCACCGCGGTCAGCCCCGTGAGGACCGGCCCTGAGCAGGGGCCCGCAGCTATGGAAACAGGCGCTGGGGGCATGGAGGCCACTGCAGCCAGCGACGTGAGCTCAGGGCCCTCTCCCAGAAGAGACTGCCCTCTGCGTGCAGCGTGAGGCTGCAGGGTTGTAAAAAAATGAATCTGTTTTAAAAGCAAATCCCTGGCACTGCCATGAAACATCGGCCAACCGGCAGCTCTGTGCAGGAGGGGGGCTCAGCTCCACAACAGCCTCCACAGAGTGGGAGCGGGAGGGAGGCCTCAGTGCTGGGCAGAGCCACAGCGGAAGAAGCTGGGTACCCCAGCTGAAGGCCACACACGCGTTTCCCCACGGCGGGCAGCCCTAACACGAGGGGCCAGGGAGAGAGCCGCTTTGCCCTCTCTGCTCTTGCCCTGCAGGGCTTAGCGATGCACCTGCCACAGGCCCGAGGGCGGTGCTTCCCACATACCCCTCCTCCTGCAGACTCGGCCCGCCCCTGCCCTGTGTCCCCCAGGCCCAATCCATCCCTAGGATCCCGGTGCCAAGAATGACGCCGTAGCCTTGGACAAAACCTTGGCCAGCTGAACCTGTGCCTGAATCTGAAGACCCCCAGGAGGAGATACAACAGTGAGGCTCAAGGGGCGGGGCCACAGACAGGGGTGCGTCCTTAGAGTCACGCATCCTGCCGGACCAGAGCGCCCACGGCAGCGTGGATGGGGCAGGACTAGGGACGCCAGGGCATCTGCGGGCCCACACCGGCCTGGTAACAGGTAGCATTTCACACACAACATTAAACGTCAGTCCTTCAGAATGGTAAATAGGAAAGAGCCCCACGCCCAAGCACCGTGGCTACATTCCTCCTCCCGCTGGACAAGGTGCCCCTCCTCCACGCCCTGGGCTCTGCGCACCGCCAACAGCTTCTCACACCGTCCTGCAGAAACCCGGCGATGCAATCCCGACACATTCACCCCACGGTAGAAGCCTAAATACAGAACCACTGTGTCCCAATCCTGTTCTTACCGGACCCCGAAACAAAACACGAAGGAGAAGCCGCGGCCCCTGCTTCTGGGTTCTGAAGGAGGCGGCTCACTCACACGGAAGAGGAGAGCAGCAGGAGGGGCAGAGAGAGGAGCGCTGGGCGGCAGCGGGGCCCGCGGGCGGACTTACCACGGGGCTGGCCCGGGCCGAGCTGGCCCTGGAGGAGGCGCGGGAGCTGGAGGTGAGGTGGCCGCTGTACTCCGAGGGCTGCCCAGGCAGCCGCCGCCGGACACGCAGACAGAAACAGAGAACAGGGTCAGCAGAGAGGCAGAGAGCAGGCAGCGCCCGAGAGACCCACCCCCCCGGCTACGCCCACTCGGGACACAGCAGAGAGGCAGCCACGGTACCACGGGGGCAGAGAACTCTCGAGTTAGCAGGAAGAACAGGACAGCAAGCGAGCGTTGGAGTCGGGTGTGCACACGAAACCGACGCTCAGAGCTGACGCTCAGGACACGGCGGCAGCGTCTGCATTGTAGCACCCGCTTCTCCACTGTCTCTCCACCGTGACTGCAAGGTCGGGCCGGCTCGTACCGAGTGCCCGGCTACCTTCCCCCCGGCTGCCTGTGCGTGCGTCCGTGTGCCTGCCCGTCCATTTAAGCTTGCTCCCTTCAGGCAAAGGAAAACAACTCAACTCTCTGGAAGCCGCACCCTCCTAGCTTATATTTGCATTCCTGTTTGTTCTAGCCTTAGTCTCTTCATGTTATTCAAAAAAATTTCCATTTTCCTCTTGAGCAGGGCAGGGTGGCAGGAGGCGGGGAGGCAGGATGTGAGCAGTCCTAGGATCCCGAGCACACCTGCCAGGTCATTCTAGGAGAGCACCTTTGAAGCAGACCCAAGCAGACCTGTGGCTGAAGGCCCCGCCCCTCCAGTCCCTGGGCCGCTGCAGGATGCCGGGAACTTCACGGAGAACTACAGGTGCATGTTTCTTGCAAATTACAAGGAACCCGGGACTCCTCAGGGTACCATGGTTCTCATCGCAAATGCCACCTCTTAGTCCGCCTGTTTCCACACCAAGATGCACCCCCACCCCCACCTGAGGTAGGCTGTCCATTTTGCTTCCTGATGACTGTCCAGGGGCCCCTTGAGGCCTGGCACACTTAGGAAAGGTTTGTGGAATGAACGAGCGCCTTCCGTGGTAGACTGGAGACAGCCGTTGAACGCTAGCTAAACCTCCTGAATGTTCCACAGGGCTGCAGGCCAGATGGGCCGGCTGTCCTGGCTCAGCCAATGCACACTCACTCCTTTATCCCAGGGACAGGTGCTCCGGCAAGCCTCTGGGGCCACACCAGAGGCAAGACACGGCTGCCCCATGGAGCCTCACCTCTCGGCTTTATGGCTCAGAGTAAAGGAAAATCCTGAAGTCAGTGCTTAGGGCAGGATTTCACCTTCGGGTTCACGGATACGAGACACAGGCTCGCTTCCCGCTGTGGACAAACCCTGACAGCTTCTCATGCTGTGCCCTGGTTTGCAAAGACATGAGGGATTGTGGGTACCAGAGCTGACTGCTGACCCAAGTTTGCCTGGGCACAGAGAGCTCTCGGGCCACCCACCCTGACTGGAGCAAGCGTCAAGTCCAGGCCCCCACGGGCCGTGGGCCACCTTATGTGTTGCAGTCACGTGGCTGACGGAGGCCTGGAAGCTCTGAGTTCGAGCCACAGCTTCCTCTCTGGTTGGGCAGGTGACCGTGGCAGAGCAATGGCCGTGGCAGAGCAGTGGGCATGGCAGAGCAGTGGGCATGGCAGGGCAGTGGGCATGGCAGAGCAGTGGGCGTGACAGGGCAGTGGGCGTGGCAGAGCAGTGGGTGTGGCAGGGCAGTGGGCGTGGCATAGCACTGGGCGTGGCAGAGCAGTGGGCGTGGTGGGGCAGTGGGCGTGGCAGGGCAGTGGGCGTGGCAGAGCAGTGGGCATGGCAGAGCAGTGGGCATGGCAGAGCAGTGGGCGTGGCAGAGCAGTGGGCGTGGCAGGGCAGTGGGCGTGGCAGGGCAGTGGGCGTGGCAGAGCAGTGGGCGTGGCAGAGCAGTGGGCATGGAAGAGCAGTGGGCGTGGTAGAGCAGTGGGCGTGGCAGGCAGTGGGTGTGGTAGAGCAGTGGGTGTGGCAGGGCAGTGGTCATGCCAGAGCAGTGGGCATGGAAGAGCAGTGGGCGTGGTAGAGCAGTGGGCGTGGCAGGCAGTGGGTGTGACAGGGCAGTGGGCATGCCTGCTCTGACAAGGCAGCAGGGAGCGACAGGGACCACACGCAGGTGCCAGGGACACAGCTTTTCCTCTGGAGGCCACTTTCTCAGCTCCTGGATCCACTGGCCACGTGCGGAGCCATGGTGACAACTGCACGCTCGCTTCACACAAAGGCATCAGCTCTTCCTGGGGGGGGGGCAGTGCCCCAACGTGGGGTCACTGTTCTACACAGCTCGCGGTCAGCCCGGGGCCTGAGGTCACAGCAACTTGAAGCTGATGCCTCAGGGAGGGGCCAGGTTCTCCCTGGCCTAAGACACAGCCTCCTCACAGCCACCTGGAGTGGGAGCTGCTCGTGGCCACCCCACAGCGGCTCGCCCAGAAACGAAAGACACTTAGTATCCCCTCGAAGGGTGCTGACCAAGTTCAGGGACGAGATGAGAGAGGGCAGGGGTGCAGGGACCTCCCTGTTCCTGTCCCGCCCCCTCCTCAGGATGCTACTTTGCTGCCGAGGAAGTCCGCCAGGTTCAAGGACACCATCTGCTCCAGGCACTGCACTCAGCGCTCCCTCTGCAGGGCAGTGAAGCGCTGGGGGCCTGGCGCCCCGTCTGTGTGGCAGGAATTTTTCCTTAACGCGGCTCTGGCCGTTCCTCCCAGGGAATTCCCACAGAGTCTGAAAGCAGACATCTCTGTCCCAGAAAAAGCCACCAGCACCACCCTGAGGGCTGGCCACCCCCAGAGTCCTTCCCAAAGTGACCTACAAGGACACGGACGAGACGCCCTCCTGCCAGACACCACAGGTGCCGCCCAGGCTGCTAGGACTCACCCAGGGCCAGGGAGAAGTCCCCTCTCAAGGCACTGTACGCTCTGCCTTTTTCTGATAAAAGAACATCACTTAGTTGCGCTTGTCCTGGGCCAGGGCCAGCTCACGCTTCGGCACGGTTTATGAGCCTTCGAGTACCTCCAGCAATGTTTCAGAGCCGGGAGAGATACTTCACCCAGTGAGTGAGCCAGCTCCACCACGTTAAACGACCCACGCAATACCAAAGTGGAGCAAGGCTTAACCAGATGCCAGCAAAAATGGACACTGGGTCAACTTAGATTTGATAGTCACGAAAGTTACATTTTTTAAAAGAAAATTATAGGTTTGATCAACTTTGTAGAAACTGAGTAGCTATGACAGTGGAGAAACAGCAGAGTACATCATAAAATGAGAGTTGGCCCATCAGGTAGCCAGTTGATTTCAACTGCGGGCTCCTCCACCATCGACGGAGGCCGAACGCTCCGCTTCCAGGGACCCAGGCCAGGCAGCTGGGCCTTCGCGCTGCCACAGGCGCGATCCCAGTCTTCTACTTTATTACTGTTCTCACTCACTAATCAACAGACGTCTGCTGTACAGCTACTCCCTTCATTGTGATAACTGAGTCTATAACTTTAGAAGAAAGAAGTCCAAAGACCACACATTTAAAGTATTCTGTCTTTAAATTTGTTCATCTTGGGGCTGGTGCTGTGGCACAGAGGATTAAGCTTCTGCTTACGTCACCAGCATCCCGTATCAGAGCGATGTTTCGACTCCCAGGAGCTCCACTTCTGATCCAGCTCCCTGCTAATGGCCTGGGAAGGCAGAGGAAGATGGCCCAAGTGCTTGGGTCCCTGCTACCCATGTGGGAGACCTGGAAGAAGCTCCTGGCTCCCGCTTGGCCCAGTCCTGGCTGCTGGCTGCTGTGGTCATAAATAAAGCTTTGTAAAAAAATCTGTTCATCTTCCGTGATTATCCAGAGGCAAAATAATCCGTGGCCTGTTGAACTCCCTTCTGTCCCCTTGTGTTATCTTCAGACCCCTTCACTATTTGTCAGGATGGTCAGCAGGTGCAGGGAAACAGAGCAGAGAACTCCGTCAAGGTAACTCCCCCCGACCCCGGTGCAAACTGAGCGAGGACGTTAAACAGCCACCAGCATCCCACGGCTCACATCATCCAGGGCTTTATCTCAACAGACAATGGAGAGGAGACAATTCGCTCCCTACGGCCGCCATGCCCTCCCGTGGCTGCACCGCACCCCACCCAGTGAGCAACCCCAGAGCCATGCAGCAGACGGGAAGGTGTGGGCAACACAGACAGTGCCTTACAGCGTAGGAGCCGCCGCCGCTGCCCCGTCGCGCCCTCGTGAGGCTGCTGTCGTCAAACACGGATGCCTGCGACCAAAACGGACAGTCAGGAGGGGAGCCCTTCCCGCCCGAGCGCTCCCAGAAAACCCTGAGAATGTACGGAGAGGGACACGCGCCAGCGACACCTGAAAATCACCATGCAGGCCGGCTGGAAACCACCGCACGGACACGGGCGGAAGTCGAGAGGAGTGTCAGCGGCTGCTGGCTCATGTGCAGTACCCGACAGAACACTGAGATCTATCACTCCCACAGACACTCCATGCTAAGTCAACCCTTGTTAATCCAGATTTAAAACAAGCAGATAACCGAAACACGGTGGTATCCTCCTATGTGATCTCTCAAGAATTCCTCCATGCAATGTGGCTTTGCAAAAAAATTAAATCATGTTTATTTAATGGTTTTAATAATTTAGAACTCTGTAGAAGTTGCTAACTAGAAGACAGAATATTTGATTAATTAGAAAACGCTGTTAATCACAGTGGGTGACCAGGAGCTTACAGTGCCACACATAGCGATGTCAGACTTTGTCCAGTTTAAAAGAACTTTAATTCCACTCATTTCTCCATGAGAACACACTGGTTTGCTCAGCCATGTGTGTACCTGACTCATAAGCCAGCAATCTGATGGAAACTCACAGCTACTGACAACACATTTCCGCTATCTTTGAATATCTAGTGTTAAGACTCCTGCAAGCCGAAGTCCCTGTATCTAAAACTAGAAATTCCCGGGGTAATACAGTAGCAGCGTTAGCATCCGTTACACTTTCCAGGGCGCTAAAAGCCATCTTTCCTAATAATGCTGAACAGACCGGCATTGTCAGCAGGGGTAAAACCCACATCTGGCCAAAGGGGGCTGACAGCGCCCAGGGCTCCTGTAAGCTCCGTGGCAACCTGCAATCCCCCGGCAGAATGGGAGACACACGCACCCTGTGACTCCCCGCAGGCCAGGCGGCGCTGGACAGGCAGGAGGGCTGCAGGAGGAGAGCAAATGGCAGGTTTTAAAAGCCTTGAAGAGACCGCGACCGGCAGCAGCGAGAAGGCCGCCGGGGTGGCCGCAGTTCCCATGGCAGCCAGGTCACCGCGATCAGCAGGGAAGGGCAGCTGGCTGGCACTGCACTCCCAGCAAAGCAGAGGCTAACGGAAAGTTAGCCAGAGAGCTAGGAAAGGAGTTTAACTTTAAATAGTAAACTCTCCCAACATCTGAACCGCACTGCCCGCTAGTCATTTCTTTTGAGGCATTCCTGGAAGAAAGCGCTGGGAATGAGATAAACTTGTTACAAGGTCACCACCACCAACCATGCCAACCAACCCAGGTTACTTCAGCTCCTGGGGTTATTTCACACACAGTGTCCACAGGGAAGAGGGCGGCACAGCAGTCGGAGCGGCCGTCCAGACACCCCAGGGCTGTGGGGCTGCTCCGGCCAGCCGGGCTGGTCCTTCTGGAAGAGCTGGCCTCCCTGTGAAAGGGCGGCCCTGGCCGGGGGCTGGGACAAGCTGGGGAACATGCTGGTGCAGAGACCTCACTGCACACCGGAAGCAGGCAGCCGGGCGGGGCTGGGCAACAGTCACTCGGCCACTCCAGTCCACACACCAGGGGGATGCGGGTCAACCTCCTGAATATGATCGCCCTGGGGCCTCTCACACTGACGTCCAGCACCTCAGCCGGACCTGAACCTGGCCTTGCACAAACAGGAAACCGGCAAGAGCCACAGAAACGGCACCGTCCTGTTGCCCGGGCCACTTCTCTAGGATGGAGCAGGCACACTGCGCAAAACCCTTCCAAATTGCTTCCTGAACACATTCACAGGAGAAAAATATTTTTTTAAAAAAAACAAATCAAACCCCAAATGGAGAACAATTGCTGGAAAAGGAGGAGAGACCCAAGAGACCAACTTTTTGGCCCTGAGTTTTTGAAAATATCTGTTTAATGGCACCCTCCTCTTCCTCAAGTCTTTTCTTCTATATTAGGTCCTAGATTATTTTAGACACTTAAAAAAATAATTGAGAAGAGGCCGGGCAAAAGAAGTCAAGGCAGCGAAGCTGCTAAGATCTGCCCTGTGGACTTCATATAGAGGAGGCTGGAGCATCCACTCCACGTGACCCGCGACGCGCAGGAAAGAGAGGGAAAGTGCGGTCAAACAGGGAACAGACCCGGCTTCCAGGGTAGGCAGACAGGGCTCTGGGAGCAAGGCCACCAGCGGGGAGGCCAGGGTCGAGGCTGGACCAGGACGGGCCCTGCAATCAGAGGAAACAGGTGGGAGAGGGGGCAGGGGGCTCACACCCACGCCATGCCTCAACGTCACAGCAGGGTCACAAACCCAGACACCGTCTTCCACGGGAAATAAGGACACGCACCTATCATGGGGAGGGGAGATGAGGAGGGAAGTGCAGGCGGCCAGGGCAGTTATGGAAAACCACGACCTGTGACCAGATCACCGACAGAAGGGAGAAACCCTCGGATTTAACTCCGACAACAAGGTCTCTGCAGCGTGAGCTCCGGCTGTGAAGCTGGGTGGGCAGAACTCCCAACTAAGAACCGCAGGTACATCGGCCTTTGTTTATGGACCAAGTATCTGGGGCAGACGACCCCTGGTCCCGTGGCCTCCTGGGTAAGGGACATGGTTTCTGGACCAAGTATCTGGGGCAGACGACCCCTGGTCCCGTGGCCTCCTGGGTAAGGGACATCGGCCTCTGTTTCTGGACCAAGTATCTGGGGCAGACGACCCCTGGTCCTGTGGCCTCCTGGGTAAGGGACATCGGCCTCTGTTTCTGGACCAAGTATCTGGTGGAGACGACCCTGGTCCCGTGGCCTCCTGGGTAAGGGACATCGGCCTCTGTTTCTGGACCAAGTATCTGGGGGAGACGACCCCCTGGCTGTGTGGCCTCCTGGGTAAGGGACATCGTTTCTGGACCAAGTATCTGGGGGAGACGACCCCCTGGCTGTGTGGCCTCCTGGGTAGGTAGTCACATGATGAATTCGCATTTCAGACAGTTTTGGGTGGCACAAGTCTGCGCAGCATCAAATGAAAGGATCCCTGAAGGGTGGCCACAGGCTTCCTTGTGGGCAGAACAGGAGAACAGCTCAGCCCTGGAAGATGAGTGCCTGGACAGCACCCCTGCTGGACCCCACGGCCGGAGCTGTCCTTCCTACGCCTTGAACAAGCCACAGCAAAGGGACCTCAGAGGTGGTGGGGGTGGGGGGTGCGGGAGGCCTAGGGCAACAGGGAGAATCTAACACAGATCCTGGAACATGTTCCAGATGTTGGAAGACATGCCTCACGCAGAAGCCACCCACTCTGTGCAGAGAGACGGCAGCAGACCGCCAGCCACGTGCAGCCAGTGCGCTGTCCCGTGCAGGATCTGCTCCCGACTAGGGCAGTCCTGAATAGCCGGGAGCCCTGGACCTGAGTGACACCTTTCCTTACTGTACTTGAGTGAGATGGACCAAGACAAGAGGGTGTAGGCACTGGCACTGTGGGGCAGCCAGTTAAAGCCCCAGCATGCAGCGCCAGCATCCTATATGGGCACTGGGTTCAAGTCCTGGCTGTTCCATTTCTGATGCAGCTTCCTGTTAAGGTGCCTGGGAAAGCAGCAGAGGATGGAGTAAGTCTTTGGGCCCCTACACCCATGTGGGAGACCCAGAAGAAGCTCCTGGCTTCGGACCAGCTCAGCTCCAGCTGTTATGGCCATGCAGGGAGTGAACTAGTGGATGGAAGACCTCTCTCTCTCTCTCTCTCTCTCTCTCTGTGTGTGTGTCTACCTCTCTCTAATGCTCCCTTTCAAATAAATAAAATAAATCTTAAAAAAAAAAAAAAAGACAAGGGGGTGTGCAGGAAGGGACAAGGTGCCTGCAGAGATCAGCTAGAGCCAGAACGCTGAGGGTGGGCCCAGAGCTGCCAGAGCATGGTGCCAGGGACCCAGGAAAGCCCTGGGGTGCGTGTTTGACTGGGCCAGCTCCCGTTTTGGCCTCTAGCCCTCGGGGTGCAGGTTCTCGTCATGAATTGAAGTTGAGTCAGATACAATCTGAACGTGGGAGAGTAACTCACACCTGAGTACGCGCTACACAGCGCCATCTGCAGGTCACTGCCTCAGTGCGGGTTCCCCAACACCAGCTTCTGTTTTAGAGCAGGTGTCCGCTGGCGGATGGGGCTGGCGCTGCGGTGTGGCGGGTGAGGATGCCGCCTGCAGTGCCGGCATCCCACGTGGGCGCCGGTTTGGGCCTGGCTGCTCCACTTCCAACCCAGCTCTGCTAAAGGCCTGGGAAAGCAGTGGAAGATAGCTCAAGTGCTTGGGCCCACGTGGGAGACCTGAAAGAGGCTCCTGGCTCCTGGCTTCAGATCAGCGCAGCTCTGGCCGTTGTGGCCATCTGGGGAGTGAACCAGCAGATGGAAGACCTCTCTCTCTCTTTCTCTTTCTGCCTCTGCCTCTCTGTGATTTTGCCTTTCAAACAAATAAATAAATCTTTAATAATAAAAAAAAAGAAAGTGAGGAGGGAATGAAGTTTTCTAAGTGCCTGCCCCCTGCAATTGCAACATCTCCCCTTGAATCATGAAAATATCCAAACTCATTTCAAGATGTTACAACCCACAATTCTTGGGTGCTTCCAACTGATCTTCAGTTAAAATTCACCTGTTGGGGGACAAAAGGGTCATAACAGTGAGGGTTTTATCATTATAGGAGGTAGGGGGCACAGGCAGGTGGCTGGAGATCAGGCAAAGCAGCAGAGGGGGCCAGGAGCTGCTGGACCACTGGGGTCCCCCTTGGCAGAGGGAGACGGATGAGGCGGGAAGAGGGGGAGGAGGCAACCGAGTGCGGCACAGGAGGATGCCCAGGGAGGATCGGGAGGCAGGGGCTGGAGCAGGGGCTGGGCCACTTATTCTGGGGACGTTTTAATGAGGACTACACGGGACGGGGTGGGGGCAAGGTCAAGGACATCGAAAGGCCATTGAGAAAACACCTGACTTTTCTGTCTGCCTTTGGGGGTGCGGGTGCCACCCCGCGCACTGGCCGTGGGGTTGATGCCTGAAGGTGTCTCCGCTCTGGGCACACGGTCTGCCTGGCTTTGTGGAGCTCCCCTGGGCTACGCTTGGGTGGGTAAGTGCTTGGGCTCCTGCCACCCACGTGGGAGACTAGGTCCAGCCCTGCCCTGGTCATGGCAGCCATTTTGGGGAGTGAGCCAATGATGGAAGGTGTGTGTGTGTGTGTGTGTGATCTTTTCAAATAGATAAATATGGGGCCAGCGCTGTGGCCCAGCGGGTTAATGCCCTGGCCTGAAGCGCTGGCACCCCTTATGGGCGCCAGTTTGAGACCCGGCTGCTCCACTTCCGATCCAGCTCCCTGCTGTGGCCTGGGAGAGCTGTGGAAGATGGCCCAAGTGCTTGGACCCCTGCACCTGTGTGGGAGACTCGGAAAAGGCTCCTGGCTTTGGATGGGCGCAGATCCGGCCATTGTGGCCAATTGAAGACCTCTCCCTCTCTCTCTCTGCCTCTCCTCTCTCTATGTAACTCTGACTTTCAAATAAATAAATAAGTCTTTAAAAAATAGATAAATACATCTTTAAAAAAAAGCCAGATCCAAGCAAAAACACAGGTGTGAAAGTTACAAGGAAGGTACAGGGTGCAGGCCAGGTGACCAGCAGTCCTCTCGGCATCACCTGCTCCCAGGTCTGCAGCGTGGAGTCCTGAGCTCATGTCTGCCAGCTGCTCCCTGCAACGCGCCTGGGGCTACCTGACCTGAGCGGCGCCGACACAGGCAGGCCCTTCCGTTCTCCAATTGCTGTGCCTCTGATGGTTCATTAAAGCCCTTTATAGCCAAGTGCATTCTGTGGGGAGCCGTTTTATAATCAGGTTCTCGATTTCTGGAGGCATTACTCGAATCTTAGCTAAATCACAAAGTGCCTTTTTGCTATATTAGCGCAAAAATCATAGACTACAAACATAAACTGTATGTACTACACAGCTTGATGTCAAGGCTATACTCCAGGGAGAACTGGCACTAAAGGCCTTCTAAAGGGGCTGGCATGTGGTGTAGTGGGTAAAGCCACCATCTGCAATGCCAGCATCCCGTGTGGGCGCCGGTTAGTGTCCTGGCTGCTCCACTTGCGATCCAGCTCCCTGTTGATGCACTTGTGAAAATCAGCAGAAATCTGGTCAAGTGCTCCTCCCATGTGGGAGGCCTGGATGAAAGTTCTGGATCCAGGCTTTGGCCCAGCCAGCCCTGGGGCCATCTGCCCCATCTGCAACCATCTGGGGAGCGAACCAGCGGATGGACGATCTCTCTCTCTCTCAGTCTGTAACTCTTTCAAATCAATCAATCAATCTTAAAAAAAAAAACTTCTAAAGTAACTTCTAACCCTGAACTATGATTCAATGTTGCAAAATGGTCATGAATGTTCCAGGGAGGGAGGTGAGGGCTCCTGTCCCGTAATGCTGAGCCCAGTAAGAACTGTCACCCTCTGGCCTAGACACACGGCCTGCTGGGGGCTCCCATCCGTGAGTGCTGTCGCTTTACAAACACACAGCAGGTGCCAGCATAAAAAGAAACACCAATGGAGGACACAGCCTTCGAACCCGGAGGTTTCTAAAATCTGGGATGAGAGAAGCTTAGGTGAAATATGATAATAGCGTCGTCAGTGCGGCATGGGAACGAGAAGGCAACAGCCACCTGTCAGGCACCTTCAGAAAGTGAGCCCACTGCAGGGAAGGGGAGGGGCCAGTGTCACTCATCTGAAGCCAACAGAGCCCTTGAGTGAATATATATAAAGTGCATTAAAACAAATGGTATTTTACACGATTAGAAAAATTTACAACCAAAAGAGAACAAGGAAGCAGCAAGACTTCAGATCATGTAACACACGGCACCCTGAAGCTTAATCACGTGTCCAGTCCAACACGTGGACACCGGCAGTGAGCGCCTCCTTGGTAAATCCCAAGGCCTCCGTGTCCCCCTCCCCCTCCACAGAGCCAGGCTCTGCCTCTCTTCTCCTCCCCACCGCTCCCCCTGCCGCCCACCCTCGACCATGTGCACCCTCGGCCTCCGTTTCCTTCTCTGGAAAACACAGGGTACCGCGTATTTCTTAAAGACGAACACTAGCATTACAGACCGGAGCCGTGAACGGCTGTGGCAGTGCCAGGCACGCACCATGGGCAGCGGAGTCACAGGCCCAGTCTTTGATTCGGGATTTTTAAACTCGGAGGCGCTTACCACATCGCCTTCCTCCACTGGAATACTGACACGCTGAGAGTGCCCCAGCTCTAAAGCGTTACCTTTCTCTCTACCGTGTGCTAGGAAGAGGGGCCCGTTAGACAGACCGCAGCACTGACTACTAACCCTGCCAGATCTTCTGCTCAGGGACTGTGCGCCACACAGCTCTGCATCGTAACCGTTTGTCTGTTTCAACGGAAGAAAAGAGAGAAAGTGCATCAGTACAAGGACGAGGACACAGGTGGAACCAGCGAGGAGCAGGCGGAGCACAGAGCACACAAGGAGCTTTGTCCCTGGAGCGCGGCGATGCCAAGCCCCAGGAAGCAGAACCCTGACAGCTGTCGACGGCCTCCATGCTCCCGTCCGTGCCGCCACAACTCAGGAAAACGAAACCAGCGCCACCAAGCTCCTCAAGCCAGCGGTCAAGTCACCTGTCCCTGCGGAGTGCAGCTGTGGCCCCTCGTGTCCAGGTTTACAGCGGTGCTGCGGCCTGGGTGCTGGGCCGGGGGCGGGGATTCCACCTGGGCCAATGAGTTTCCCTTCCCAGGTCCAGGTTGTCTTTGAGAACTGTGGCTCATTCGGAAGCCACTTCCCGAGATTCAGGAATGGCCTCCACCCTTCGGTGACTAAATGCTGAAGATCCGCATGGGAACGTGTATTTTTTTTTTCATTCACCTGGTCTTCCCACTTTATTTTTCCAGATGAAATCCAAATGAGATCCTATAGTGATCTCACAATTTGTCCTCCAGAAAAGAGGAGAATGACCACAGGGCCACCATCCCTCAGCCTCAGTTCTCAGCCCCAGGTAGGGACCTTTTCGCTGCCAAGGGCCACTTGGATATTTATGACATCATTCAAGGCCATACAAAATGACCAACTTAAAAACTAGCCTGAGGATTTGTTGAATTTCGAGTCCCGCCTTGGCAGGGCCGGGCCACGTGATTTCGAGGGCTGTATATGGCCCGTGGGCCTGCTAAGCCAAACGCTCCGCTTAATCCGTGCGGGAATTTCTGCTGATTCCAAATGAGCAGTCGTGCATCCGAGGAAGAGACCCAGTCCTGGGGCGGGAAGAGGAGGAGCCGTCTGCACGCTGGTGCGAACGGCGGAGACGCCGGGGTCACAGACGGGGCTGGCTCCAAAGGGAGGGCCCTGCCATGGGACCTCAGGAAGCCCTCGCCCCATGCACCCCCTCCCCAGCTGTGAACACGTGCACGGTCACTGACTCGTCACACAGCCCCATGCAGCGTACACGAGAACACGGTGAGTGCCCCAAGCGCCCAGCACGCTGCCCTCACGCGGCACATGCTGAGTGGACAGAGAAGCGAGCGTCTGCGGAAGACGCCTGGCACGTGGGGTACTGGCTGTGGGTCCTCACTCGGGGGTGGGGGAGGGGCTTTCTCACAGCCATGACGTCACACAGAATAACCGATTCTAGAGATTATAAATCCAGACTCAGGAAACCTTGGCTGTCAAGCTATAGCCACCTTCGTGTCAACTCAGAAGCCACAATTAATTTGAAGTTTCTAGATGAAACACAAGAATGCACACACGCCCCCTTCCGCGTTAGACTTGGAAACGAGTAGAACATTTCTGAAACTGAAGAGTAAAAACCTTTGGAGACTGGCGGGAACCTCACTCCACTGAATTTCCTTCTGTGTCTCCCCAGACAAGACGCGTGATATGGAGATGCACATCAAGAACGGCCAGTTTAGACCTTCTCTTACTCCTTGTTATCTCGTGAGAGACCACATACCATCCTGGTGCTCAGGCCTCCCAGTGCTCAGGGCCTGTTACCTTGCTGACAAACGCCCTGCTGGGCAGACCCTCTGGTGTCCACTGCTGCCTACAGACCCAGAGCGTGCCCGGGCTCCTCCTGCCCCACCGAGCCTCCAGCATGGCAGAGGGCAGGTAGAAGCCAGGAGAGCCAATGCACTTGCTGATCTGTCCACTTAACCCTTCCCAGCCTCCATGGAAACGCAGGAAAAACTGTAGCCTTTGTGGAGTACCCGTCCTGGTCTGGGTGAAACTCTGCCACGGGGAATCTCTTCCTGGAATGTGTCCCCAAGCCCCCAGGGCCTCGCTGGCCTCCTCCACACTACCACTGAGCTGGATCCTGGGTGTCTGTGCTGTGTTTAGGGGGCCGGGGAGGGCCTTTGTGGCCAAACAGGGCAGGAGCGCCCACAATGAGCCGTAACACTGCAGAGTCCAACCTCAACTTCATCTGAAGCCAGGCCCCGGGGCTCAGCAGCTCTGCTCTCCACGATTCTTTAGCCACCATTCTTTACTGTGTGGCTTCAAATGGTACACAGGCCTGTTCCCTTGATGGTGACCGGCTGCAAGGCCGTGTCTCAGGGACTGGCAGGCCACTGCGTGGGGGTCACCTGGCCACAACAGAGGACACCAGGAACCCCAGGGTGAGGCCCAGGAGTGTGGGTTTCACCAAGCTCCCCAGGTGACTCTGAGGTGCAGTAAGAGTCTGACAAGACCAAGAGGCATTTTGTAACAGAGGGTAAACACGATACAGGAGTAAATGCTTTGCCAAGACGGCCCTTGTCCTGGCAACGGTGACTGGTCAGAACATTAACGACCAGCGTGCATGCAGGGCCATCACCACACTCACAGGGTCATCCAAACGCCAGCTGTCACCATTTCTATAGCAACATTAGACACTGTTTTTCTATGGGAGTCAAAAGACAGCACAAAGGGCATTAGAGATGGGAAACAGAACAAGAAAGGCAAGCGAGGCTTCCAAGTACAACACTTGACGCCGTTCAGGCCAATTTAAAAAGGGGGCGGAGACTGAAAGTAAAAACAAAGTTCAACATGTGACCACTAACACGTGTGTCCACCTCATCATGTGACCACTAACACGTGTCCATCCCTTTGTGTGATCACTAACACGTGTGTCCACCCCAACGTGTGACCACTAACACGTGTGTCCACCTCATCATGTGACCACTAACACGTATCCATCCCTTTGTGTGATCACTAACACGTGTGTCCACCCCATCATGTGACCACTGACACGGGTGTCCACCCCATCATGTGACCACTGACACGGGTGTCCACCCCATCATGTGACCACTGACACGTGTCCATCCCTTTGTGTGACCACTAACATGGTGTCCACCCCAACATGTGACCACTAACATGTGTGTCCACCTCATCATGTGACCACTGACACGTGTCCATCCCTTTGTGTGACCACTAACATGGCGTCCACCCCAACGTGTGAGCACTGACATGGGTGTCCACCCCATCATGTGAGCACTGACACATGTCCACCCCTTTGTGTGACCACTAACATGGTGTCCACCCCAACGTGTGACCACTAACATGGTGTCCACCCCATCATGTGAGCACTGACACGGGTGTCCACCCCATCATGTGACCACTGACACGTGTCCATCCCTCACAGACTGGCTCTGAAAACCCACGTGGAGTTGAAAGTAAGAGCTCACCGCTGCTGGGCTCGTGCCCTACAGGACGGAGGCGTTCCGTTCCTGGAGGTCGCTGCCCTTGGTCAGGGCCGCTGGGAGGGTCTTAGATAACTCGGCCAGCTACCCTGCGAAGGGCACTTCCCGAATCGTATCACACGGCCTCCAGCAAGTCTTCCCCTGTCAGGCTAAGACCTGTGCAGCAGCCTGGGTCGACTCCCTCGGCTGCGCTCTCCGTCCTCAGGGCTCCCGTGTGGTAGTATTTACCACCCCCTTCCGCCCGACGTGCATCCTAGCGTAGCAGTTTGCTAAGTAACCTGGAAATGCAGTGAAGTCAATGAAGCAGAAAATGCCTTCAGGCCAAGTCCTCACCGCGACGTCACGGAATTCAGGAGCGCAGCACCGCCCCAGATGACTTTCCTGCTCGGCTCTGCTTCCTGGTGGGGTGAGCTGCCTCCTTGTAAGCACACGGCTTACAGGCTTCCAGAACACGGAAGGCGCGGACACTCTCAGACAGGCAGACGGAAGGGCAGCAGCTCCGAGTGTAAATCAGAAGCTTCCGTTTTTGTGACGGGACCTGGAGCCCCCTCACGGCCACTCCCTGGCAGGAGAGCCTGCTTGCCTCGTCATTGTGAACGGACACAGATTGGAAAATAACAGATTTTTCACCAAGTAAAAGGACTTCCTGTCTCATCTTCTAAAGCAAACTTGGAGGCTTTGGGAGCTCCTGCTCTGACACAAGTTCCCCGAAAGCCAAACAGCACCTTTGTCGCGGGGTGGGGGCAGCTGCAACGGCTGAGTGGCGAGCACCAGCCACTGCAGAGCCCGTCCGCGAGGCTATGCCCAGGGGGCTCTGGGGGCGTGGGGTCCACTCCAAAGGCTGCCCTGCCCTGCTGACCTTACAGCTCCCAGGGAAGACTGGCGGGCGGGGGCAGGTGTCTGGCACAGCAGTTAAGTCACTGCTTGGGACGGAGGCCTGAGTCCCAGCTACTCCACTTCTGATCCAGGTTCCTGCTAATGCATCCCCTGGAGGCAACAGGTGACGGCTCAAGTACAAGGGTCCATGCCACCCACGTGGGAGACTTGGATTGCGTTCTGGGCTCCTGGCTTTAATCTGACCCAGCCCTGGCTGTTGTGGGAAAATGGGGACTGAACTGGCAGATGGAAGATCTCTGTCTCTGCATTTCAGATAAAACGAAAATTAAACAATAAATTGGTAGCTGGATGAAGCAGCATGTGGCCTCTAAGAAAAGCGCCATGAGCTTAGTGGGGACCCCGTGGTTATCATCTGTCACTGCACACAGCGGGGCCGCACAGCACGCTCCCCTGACAGCTCACCCAGGTAGGGGCACGCCCATATTCCATGTCAGGCTGCGACTGTCAGGACAAGGATGATGGATGGCAGAGGAAAAGAACAGAAAGAAGAGTTGCCAAATAATAATAGTAATAATAAACTAAAAGCTAAAACATGCAAGCAAAAAGCAAGCAGACTTCAGAATCTTAGCAGAAATGCATCCTCCGTGACTCCTACGGCTACCGCGAAATCCAGTGTCACTAACTGAAACGCCCCGTCAAAGGCTGCTCTAACTCATGAAGTCTGAAGTCGCCTGTGCAATCCGACTTCCTCCTCCACGTCATGCATGCTAATTATGTCAGGGAACAGGTTAACAGGTGCACTGCTGTCATGTCTTCCATGAGGAGAAGTAATATCCTGTGATAGTTCCTGAGAGCACTTCCACACCAGCACAGCGAAATCTCCTGCCCTTTTCAGTGTTCATCCTCCCTGCCCGTGGAGTGAAGAGGACCTGGAGTTTTGAGAATCAAGCAGTAGGAGCTGGGATATTTATTACTGGGACTTAACATTTATAAAACAGCACAAACCGATGTTGCGTGGAGACGTCGTGAGACGTGACTCCCTCCAGGGCACTGCCGTGTTTGACTGCACCAGCCGGCACAGGACAGAGCTCCGGGCAGGCCAGCACATGGACAGCAGATGGCCCACGGGCCCCTGGCAGCAGGACTGGCCTGGTCACTGAGTTTAGTGGGGACTGTGACCCGGAGCAGCCTCTTAGCGGCTCTGGGCGTGCATCTCTGGGCGTCTCATCCCCAGCACCCCACCCTCAAGCCCCGGGGTTTCTACACCTGTCTGCTTCCGTGACAGACAGGATGGGCAAGAGCAGGGCGGCGTGTTAGGGCCTGACAGCTGCTCCCACCCCGTGTTACAAGATTCCTTAAATACAGTCAACAGCAGGCAAAGGATGGCGCCCAGCAAAGCCATTCAACTCGTTTCCAGTTAAGGTGACTGCTAATGAAGGGCATGCGAGCGTACCGTCACAAAGCAGAAGTACTGCAATGGTTTTCACCGTGGTGGGGTCAGGAGACCCTCGGAGAATCTTAAGAAAGCGGAAACTGCTTTCCCAGGAAGACGTGAGTGGGCCGGGAGGACGGAGGGCCTGACCAGGACACACCTGGGATCCGGATTCTGCTTGCTCCTCCCGCTCTCCCTCCCATCGGGCTCTGCGCTCACCCTTGCCACCCAGTCAGGTTCCAAACCCCACAGTCGGTCTTCGCTCTGTCCCCGCTACACTGTCCTCCTGCTCCCTGAAAGCCGTCACGTCCGTGCCTGGCCTAGGGCTCAGGCAGGCAGCTCCCTTCCTCTGCAGTGCATCAGGTCCTGGTCAGCGAGGAAGGCACAGTGACAGCCCCGAGGCACTGCTGACACGGAGAAAGCTCCCAGCAGCAGGCAGCACTTCTCCCAGCTCCACATTCGGACGCTAAGTTTCTGGCAGCACCACTGTGGCTGTGTTTGTGGCACGCTGGCGACACATCACACACCTCAACCGTGTGGGAAAAGCAGCCAAATCAGTCACACACGTAGCGCAGGCTAAGAAGCCACAGACTGGCAAACGACTTCACTGTGGGAGAAAGGACAGGAGCCTCTGCAGTTGCTAAGACCAGGAAGTCACCGCACTCAGCAAAACCGGTCTTCGCTTCCCCAAACGCACCACTGCTTCAAGCACAATGACGCAAGTCTTGGGAATGCTTAAGGAAAAACACACGTCTGTGTTTATCAGCCATGCAGCTGCCCTCAGGAAGAGGCTTCGTCAGAGCCGAGAACAGAGAGGCTGCGGAGGGCAGACCCAGGTCGCAGGCATCAAGTCCAGGTCCACCGTCCCCCCAGGTGGCTGAGGGCAGCCCTGCACCCCCGGGGCTGCCCAGGGATGACCCTAACTTACAGCCACCTTAACTGTGACTCCCACTGTCTCTAGGGGCAGGGACGTGAGTGGGCACGCAGAGGTAGTGCAGGACGGAGCGAGCCGTCCCCTCCCTGTTCCTCGCAGCCACAATGCTATGACACGTGTTGACCAAGGACGGGCAGCGTGGGGACGTGGCCAGACACAAAAGCTGATGACTGCCACCCTTGGGAGGAAGGTAACAGCCAGAGCGCCCGCTGCACGTTAACGGTCTCCTTGCAGCAACCAGGAGCGGTGCCCCACCCATCTCGAGTAAGCATCTTGGTTGCTGGGCAGTGACTGTCGGAGCAGAGGGGCTGGGGGAGAACTCCGAATGCAGGGGGGAGAAGCAGAGGGCCCCCCACGCGCCGTGCCATGCACCGTGGCGGCCCCGCTTACTGACCCGCAGGCTTCCGCGACTACCCACTGACATGCGCTCGTCTTCATCAGAAGCCTATTGAGAGAAAGGACGGAAGCAGCGTGAAGTGGAATCGGCACACACGTGGGAGCCGACGTGGCCTGCCCGGGCCTCAGATGGAGGCGGCCGCCTCGGGAAGCCTCAGCGGGCCGAGGCCCCCGGCCATCGGGCTGGGCACGCTCTGCACAAGGCTGTTTACGCAGGCTTAAGTAATTTCACTGGCGTGGTGGTGTCTACATCACAGGTAACACACAAGGTATAAATAAGCCTCCGTGTGGTTAGTATGCAAGTTATTCACGGGCACGTCACAGCAAACAAAGCACTCCCAGAGTGAGGACTATGTTAACACCCGACCACTTCACACACGCACACGCTACTCACCAGCCGTACAAGAAAGCGTTCAGAGCCGAGTCCAGGTCTTTGTTTAGGTAACGTGAGGGGTTTTCAAAAAGTTCATGGAAAATGCGTATTATGGAAAAGCTATGCATGCAGTTTAGATTTTGTCGCACCAAAGGAAACTTGGCTTTAATTCTATTTTTTCCACAAACATTTTCGAGTTCCCCCGTAGCAGCAGTAGTAGGAGAGCATTAATTTATTTCGTGAGCACCACGTAAATGTCAGCCACCAGAAGTGCACGTCGGACTCGCGTCAAACGGGGAGGGATAAACAAACACGGTACTGACCGATGCGGTTCTTCTGGACCTACGGGAGCAGCGCTCGCTGTCTTCCTAGCGGAGCAATGAGGAGACAGCAGAGGAAGGTCAGACACACACGCAGCACCGCCCACAGAATCCCTGGCCGCAGTGTCACACAAACGTTTGCTTTGCTTTGGTTCCAGGCTTCCGCTGAACACAGTGGGGGAAGGGGCGGGGCTCTGGGAAACAGAAACCATGGGCCTGCTTCATTCTGGCTCGGCAACCAGTGTGCACGGGGGCAGACCAGCGGCCACTTAAATTAACCTGCTCTCCCCCGACCCGACACGCAGAGCCTCCTCCTCCTGGGGGAGTCAGAAGGTAGACCGCCTCCCCCAGAGACTCGGCCAAGTTACCGGCTGTCTGCTCTGTCTCGTGGGTTCCAGGGCACACACAGTCGTGCACACTGGGGTTCTCTAAGCTGGGGTCTACCTCTGACCACACCTGCTCACCCTGTCACGTCTGTCGTCAGCATCTTAAGACTGGTGCCGCTCGAGCCCGCAGTGACGGCGGACACCACCGACCTGCGCTTCTGCCACACGGGAAGTGTGCGCTCTCCTACACTGGGAGCTTACTCTCTGTATCACACGCAGGCGTCCGAGACGCGAGGAGCTCGCTCCGGGTTATCGGAGGCATCAGGGACGAGCCAGGCTGCCCACAAGGCCAATCACGCCTCAGGGGCAGGAGGGCGGCATGGATTAGCCTTGCACCCTCCACACCAGGGGACAGCTCAAACGCTCCCCTGCCAGGGCCTCCAGCGAGGGCGAGGAGGCCAGGCGTGCCGTCGGCTGAGCAGGCGCTCAGGCGACCTGGGAAGGCTGCTCTGGGACAGGCTGGGGCAGCAAAGGGACTTTCTCACCAAGGAGCAGCAGGAAGAGCCGACGAGCCGGGAGGGCCCCGCAGGGAGGGTGGAGAAAGGCTGGCCCGAGGGCCGGGGCAGCCGGAGGGAAGCGGCGGAGCCAACTGTGCCCTCTGGCAGGCTGTGGCAGTAACGGGAGGGTTTTCAGGAAAGTTCGCGAGCCGGGGGGCACATGCCCAGCCGGAGCCATAAGGGCGAGTCCTCTGCCCGAGATTACTGGGGAGGCTGTGGGAGAGGAGCCCCCCACACTGGTAGCCTGGAGACGCCAGCGGCCGGCTGCTGCTGGACACACGGGCTGGAGGCCTGGCCAGGTCTGTTTCTAAGCAGGCTCCCCCCAGGGACGTAAACAATCAGGGACCAGACACAGAAATCTCCGGAACAAAACCTCTCCGTATTAAATTACGTTGCAACAGGAATCTATCTACATAATGAAACCGCGTGAGAATTACATTATAAGCCATGCTTAAGTCTTAAAATTGTAATCAAGGCCTACCATCCACTGCTCGATGTCACCCCATTTTGTGTCCAGCCCATAATATTTCTAGGGACAGAAAGGAAAGACAGTTAGGCAGGAAGTGAAGAGGGAAGCGTGCAGGACGTGGTGGGGACATGCATTTCCACACTGCTGCCCGTGCTCGTGGGACAGGGCACCCTGGGCTCTGCGGGGGGCACCTCTACTCCCTGCAGGCCCCTAATGAGACCTCCCCCCCTCCCCAGCCCAGAGAGCAGGAGGCAAAGCATCGCCGGGGCCAGAGCAAAGCCGGGCCCGCAGCACTGCAGGCTCTGCTGTCGGCTGTAGCGCACCTTCGAGCAGACACCGCCTCAGAGAAGCCAAGTGCCAGGCCCGCGTTACGACGTCGGAAATGAGGAGACCGGGGAGAGGGCAGACTGCACGCGACCCCAGGTTCCCGGCACACCTGTCTGCTGTCGGCACCTGTGCTGAATGGGGCCCCTGAGATTTCTCTGGAGGGCATTCCGGCCTGCAAAGATGACTGCAGCTAAGCCCTGGCCTTGTCCGGGACGACCAGGCAGCCCTCGGGTGACGCTGGGGGCGGCTGCAGCTAAGCCTTCTCCGCTGCTTGTGCAGACCACAGGGGTTCCAGGCAGAACCAGAAAAGCAGGCCCCGAATGGCTGCCGCCGCCACTCCACACAGGGGGCCTCTGCTTCGTGGGAACCAGCTGAAGGCCCCAAATTGCGGGGTTTACTTTTCTCCCTTCCTTTCCCTCAGTTTCCAGTAAGGAAACCTCATCGAGCACACATGAAAACCTTACAATCGGAAGGAAAACACTGGGTGCCAGGAGAGCAGGACAACACAGCCAGTGGCCAGGTGTGGTCCTGCCAGCTGTGGTCTGGCTTCATGCCACAGGGCGGCCAGGGTTAGGATGCTCTCCGTTTCACCCTTTCTCCTAGAGATGGTGGAAGTGGAAAAATGGATGGGGAACACTTAGGGGAGAATTTAACAATGCTACAAAAAGTATAAGAACCACATCTTTTTTTATATGTTACTTCCTTAGAATATAAAGTCCAAAAGTTAACAACAGCAAGCAGTTCGCCAAGCTAGGTGACTGCATCAGCCTGGGGCCTCCTGCGTCCTTACTGTCAACTTCCAGATCTTTCTCATGGAAAGTGCGAAGAATTCACCCTTCTCGTATTCAATGGCTTAGCTACAAAGACAGAGCATCGTTTTATAAAAAAGGAGTGGGACTTATATTAATTTACAATTAAACGATTCCCAAAGAAAGCCGTCACTTCTACTTTCCTTCGCCCTCGTTCTGGGCCTATCTCAAATCCTGCACAGTGCAAGTTGCGCTTTTCATGATAAAATGCAAACCAGGATTCAGACTGTCACCTGGTCCACGGGTGGGCCTGTACAGAGTGTCTGTGCCTGCAGCCGTACCTCCATGCCGTTCAGGAAACTCAAGTGCCATTAGCTAGTGGTGCCAACGTTAGCAGCGCCAGCCCAGCAAAGTCCAGAAAGGGCAAAGTATGTCCAATGTAAATACTGCGATGGCCAGTGAGTCATGCAGAGGGAAGGGCCAGCCTGAGGCAGGAGGCGCTTGGCTTTCAGAAATCGATGTGGTTCCCGAGAAACCATCACGCCCAGCGCCGATGGCTGCAGAATGTTCGCTGCCTCCTTTTCCTCTTCGTATACCTCAGTGATAAGGAAAGGTCACCTTCAGACACGGGCTCCTGCAGCACCACGCACCTGCTCTTCCCTGGGGGAGTGCGGGCTCCGGCTGCTGCACCCTGGGCCCAAACGCACATCCGCACAACATTGTCTACACCTGGGGTGTGGCAGGGAGGAAGCAGTAATGACCCAGAGGTCCCGGGGTCTGCGTCCTGGGGTAGCCGGTTAAGCGCACATCACACCCCATATGCGAGGGCTGATCCAGCTCCCTGCTCATACACCTGGGAAGGCAGCAGATCAGGGCCCAGTACTGGGTCCCAACCGCCCGTGCCGGTGAACAGGATGGAGTTCCAGGATCCTGGCTTCAGATTAACCCAGACCTGGCTTTGTAGAAGTCTAGGAAGTGAAGTATGATTTTATTGATAACATTTTTAAAAAATATTTTTCCAGTTTCTTGAGCAGAGTGGAGATGAGGACAGCACTCAGCATGCAGAAATGTGTGGGGTTGTGGGGAACCTGTGAGTATGCGTTCCGAGTCAGAAGGCTGCATAGAAAGTACAGGGAACAGCAAGAACCTCTAGGTGACTGCACCGCAAGGTGGCCAGCCCCTTCCCAGGCAAACAGCAGCGCATGCAGTGAGCAAACAAACAGCCTACCTTTTGAACTTGATAGATCTACCAAAAAGGACAAAAGAAAAAGGGAAAGAAATGTAAAATTCAGTTAAAGCAGCAGGAACAATCAGAAGGAAGGAGTACCATTATATTCATGGAACTGTATCTGTGAACTGCATTCAATCTGTTCTTGTACTAATATCACATTAACATAAAAAATAAGATTTAAAAAAGAAAGGTGCAGATGTAACCAGAGCTATGAATGAAAGCCGTACCAGGAAAACATAGTGAATACTGGCAAAATCCGATGAAAACGTTTGGGAGTGTTCCTGGAGGCGTTGGTAAACCACCATTCACTTCATGGTCCAGGCCGGCCGGCAAGGCCCAGCGTGCTCACACCAGCTGGGGCTGCCACCCCTCTGCCAGCCTGGCACACACATTTGTGTAACGTGTTACCACCCATGGGTGACAGTTCACCTTCACCTTCAAAATTCACTTTCATAATAAAGTAAGTTCAACCGAAAGGCTGCAAATTCACAATAGAATTCACAGATTATGACGAGGGCAGCTTTGATTTTCTGACTTAGTCACACAGAGAATGCCGAGAAGTTCCAGCCACCCAGAGTGACCATGAGAACACAACAGAAACACATTTCAATGGGAGCTCATCACCACGCATGGAGTTGACAGTTAATTAAGGTTTTCTCCCACTTGTGTAGCAATGCTAGGTAAGCCCGAGATACCGACCCACCTTCCCTCCATTCATTCAGCAAAACACTGACTGTGTCAGGCAAGGTCAAGACTGTGCAGAGCCTTGGCGTTCCCAGTCTTCCGAGAGCACAGGTGAACACAGTCGTTATCACGACCATAAAAAGCACAGCCTCTCCGACCAAAGTGTTGGTCAAGCCCAGGGCAACGCAAGAAATCAAGCATTTTTTTCATTTGAACCTGAAGTTTAAGGTTCCACTTGTATTTCCCAATGAACATTTACATCTTATCCTGCTACTGAGTCCATTATAAAGAAGTCGTGTACTTTCAACAGCTCTCAAGACACAGCTAACGTAAGCTGGCCGTCTGCACTGTGCGACAGCAGTGTTTACCCGAGACCTGCCTGGGGTCTGGATGACTCTCAGCTAGCTCTCTGCCCCCACACTGGGCGACTGGTGCCTCTCATAGCTCTTTCCCCGCACACACCCCTTGGGGATCCCAACCCTAGTCACCAGGGCCCCCCTCTTCGGCTCCTGCAGGTGTTTCCAGAACACACCCCCCTCCCTCCATGAAACCCTGCCTGCTGGGCGACACCTGTGTGCAGGTGGGCGGGCTCACAGCCCAGCTCATGTTTCTCAATTCTGACTCCAAAACATCCACCCTACTGGTAAGACACTGGCGTATTCATTTCCCCTGAATCAACAACTTAAAATGCCAGCACCCCAGGATCTCAGATTGTATAACCTCAAATTGTGTTAGCTGGTTCTAAAAATAGCCAGCCCCAGAGACCTGATAGGCAAGGGGAGAAGGCAGATGCTGTCAATCCACCTTCCTAAGCCCTAACCCCGGCCCAAGGTCACGCCCTCTGGCCTCGTCCTTCTCCCTGCTACACAGGTGTCCCCACACTCTGGCCTTTGGTCAGATCAAGTAGCAGGTGGATGAACAGCGACTGCTTCTGTGTTTGCTGCAAACCTTTGCTAAGGAAAGTGTGCATTTCCGTCTGACACGCTGTGCGTCACTCGGCACTAGCGGAAACCTTCTCTTCAAGGTGTTCTGTGCTTGGATCAGGTGGATCATCCCATCTCCCCGGCCCCGGCCCCGCTGTGGGCGCCCGGCCAACTGCAACCCACCCCTGCTGTTTGTTTCTGCTGTGCGTGCGACTCTGAGGCAGAGGGTGTAACCGGAAGACCACCAGGTCTGCGGCAGTGCGATCTCCCCGGGATAACTTCTTTGTGCTGGGAAGACAGTCGTCTTACTCACCTGCAAGGTTCGGGCGGTGGCCCTCACACTGAGACGGGACCTGAGCCCTGCACGGCCCTACCTGCCGGGCTCTGAGACGTCCGCCCTCTCCTCCATTCTAATAATGAAGTATCGTCTATTTTATTTAAAATCATTCAAATCCTTGCTTTGAAGTCACCAACTTTAAGCAGTGATGCTATTTCAAGACCCTGCGCTTGCGATGGTCAAACTGTCACGCACATAAATGACAGCTGCCGTGGGCTGACTGGGTGAATGCAGACGACACGGCGGAGCCGGGGCTCTGTCCATCCTTAACCCGTCCTCTGGCGGCTCTCAGCTCCCAGCACAGCTTCCTGCCCACCTCTCAGTCCTCTGCTTTGACAGAAATGGCTTTTCCCCAGGCTGCTGTCACTCGGGGTCCCCACGGGCTGTCTCGGTCAGGGTCAGACACTCAGCCCCCTCCCTGACACATCCTGCCATCTACCCAGGCTGTCACTCCACACTGGTGAGGGACAGGTGGGGCAGGGGAGTGTGGACCAGTACAGGTGCGCTGCTTCATCACAGCCTGCCGGGGACACTGGGGAGGGACAGGTGGGACAGGGGAGTGTGGACCAGTACAGGTGCGCTCGCTTCATCACAGCCTGCCGGTGACCCCGGAGTGGGAGGGATGTGGAGACGCCAGGATGGTGGTGGAGGTTTGAGGGATCCACAGTTGAATGAAAAAGGTGACTTTTACCAACGTCAGTCCTGGGTCTGAGTGCAGAGCAGGGGCCTGAGACAGCTCACTGGATCCCCACAAACCCCTTCGATGTCTCCACGACCGAAGTGAAACACACCCTTAGGATGGAGAATTCCATAGTTCTAACGCGGCTGCTAAGCCAACAACCCTGGCAGGTCTGACTGAGGAAGGCGAACCAGGTCACTGGCTTTCTCGGGGTTTAACCCGGGGTCCTCTGTAGGGCCACAGGGGCGGGGGTCCCTCTGCCTGCAGCCTGGGGGACTCCCCTTTCCTGTGTGTGCAGTGGGGCAGCCTCACCGGGCGCCGTAAGGGGCAGTGAGAGCCAGCCAAGGCCCCAGCACCTGCCACACGTCTCCCTCACTTTCACAACACCAAGATTAAATGGCTGAGAGTCGGTTTCTCATCTTTGGTAGCGAGGTGTTTTGTTTTGTTTTTTTGTCTGTAGCGTGTGGTATTGCAGCTGAGACGCAGGAGCCCAGTAGCGCCTCTTTCTCACACTGGAGAACAGGGTTTCCCTGCCCAGCAGGGGAGAAACGGGAAAGAAGCTGCCCAAAGAGACAATTTCTTGCCTTAACTCACTGTAATTTTTATTGTCCAAATCGAAAGCTTTGGCCAGAGGACTCTGTAACCAACTCATAGTGTATCATGCATATATTTAATGAATGCTATCAGTAAGCAAGGACGGAATGCAGTTTAACTAAATGCATAACCTAGAACACAGACGTGTGGTACATGAGAGATGCCCACCTGGCTGTGTAGAAATGTGGCACGCATGCTTGGCGAACGTTTCCTTACACTGAGAGGCACGAGAAGCTGATTTCCGACCCCATCGCGAAACCCAGGGTCGGATCCACCTGTGCTTCTCCGCCTCCTGGCCCGATTCCGTGGCGTGGCTCTCACAACGCAGCCACAGGTCACAACTCAGCAGGGCAGGGACTTCAAGTCCGACCAATGTGGCAAAACTCGGCAGCGCAACGAAATATGTTCCTATGACTCCTTCACGACTTTAATCTAAGAAGGACTGAGGGACTGTTGGGGAAGCACGGGAAGCAGATTAAGCCGGATGAGGCTGTGGGCACGCACACCGCTGGGCCGAGCTGCAGGAGCGGCTCCCACCAGGCCCTGACAGCAAGCTGCCGCCTGCACAAACAGGCGCAGCCTAAGAAAGGGCGGCCCCTGCCCCCTTAGTGACCCACCTTACAGTACCCCGAGGGCCCCAGAAGTGTCCAGCATGCAGCGGGCTGGCCAGTGTCTACCGAGGGGACTGAAGTTTCTACAGAGAATCGACCGCAGTTTGAGAAAGCAATCGGGGCTCTGTCATTTATAAAAATATAAATCTTTAAAGAGCCATCATCGGGCTTCCCGGGAGGCCTGCAGCAGCCAGCGTGTGGGGGCTCAGCCTGCAGGAGCTGCGCAGGTCAGGGCGTGGGCGATGCTGTCGCAGGAGGAGCCAGGGGTCTTCAGAGAGTTCATGGAAAAAGCGTATCACGAAAAACCTGGGCGTGGCTTCCATTTTTTTGCACCAAAATAGACTGGCCTTTCCATTCCACTTCCCTAGGGGCTTCCTGCAGGCCCCTCGTATGGGGCAGGGGTGCAAACCCGCTGCCTGCGCCTCTCTCCCTGTCGCAGCTCAACACCTCTCTTTGGAGGCTTTTCTGAAAACAAGAGACTGCTACGGGCCACACCTCAGCTCCCTCCCCTGCCGCGCCCGGCGGACGTCACTCAGGTCCCAGCCCCGGAAGACCCAGGACTGGCCCTCCACTGAGGGCCGGGGAGGCGAGGCGGCCACTTCACAGGAGCACTGCGGAGGGACTGTTGTCCAGTTTTAAAGCGGCAGCTGTGACTCCAGGTGTAAACGTGTTGGGAAAATGCTAACCCTATGCTTCTTAGAGTAAATTATGAGAAAAAGCGCACACCCCAAAAACCCAAATACCGGAAGCAAAATCATGAAAACTAGAACTTATTTACCACTGCGTTTGTGCTCACAGCAGTGAGGGGAGGCGTGAGGCGAGCTGCTGTCCAACACCGCTGAGCCTCTCTTCATCTGTAACACCCGCCTCACAGCGGCTCAGGCCGCTCCCAACCACGGCTGAGGGTGGTGCAGCCACGCCCGCGCCCGCCCCATCACTGCGGAGACCGGCTCGGCGCCACCCTGCCTCAGGGACTGTGCTAACGGAACTCGGGGCTTCAGTTTCTGGACTCTTCATCCCATGTGGAAGAGTTTTCTCCCCCAAATTTAAACCTGGCCACACCCCCTCGGGGGCTTGTGCGTTTCCACTTGCGGTGGCAAAGGCCCTGGGCAGGGAAGGGAGCGGAGGGACCGAGTCCCCACAGGCGATGCGACCTCCATCCTGTGAGGGATGTGGCGGAAAATGCGTACCAGAAATCTAGACTTTCATCTGCAACCTCACAAGTGGTAAAAATTGGTCTGGCTTAAAATCTGGCAATGTGAGGGGCTGGCGATGTGGCGCTACAGGTTAAGCCGCCGCCTGCAATGCCAGCACCCGCATCAGAGGGCCAGTTCAAGTCTCATCTGCCCCGCTCCTGCTCCAGCTCCCTGCTGATGTGCGCACAGGAAGGCAGTGGAAGATGGCCCGAGTGCTGGGACCACTACCCACGGGGGAGACTTGGGCGTTCCTGGCTCCTGGCTTTGGCTTGGAACACCCCTGGCTATTGCGGCAATTTGGGGAGTGAAGCAGCAGATGGAAAATCTTGTTCTCTTTCTGTCTCTCCCTCTCTTTCTCTGTGACCCTGCCTTTCAAATAAACACTCCTAACAATAATAATGGAAATGAAGAAATTTGGCAATCTGAGCCGAACAAGAGCCTGTGTCTGAGGGCAGCTGCTTCCCTCTGTCCATCACACAAGTTCCACTCTTCCTCACAAGAAAAGCCCTGTGGGGCGGGGCCGGTCCTGGACTTGAGAGGGGCCATCTGCCATGCTGCCCTCAAGGTCAGGGCAAAGAGCCCTCACCTGTCAGAAGTGAAGGAAAGTGGTAGCCAACAGCAGAACAGGTGTGCAAACACATGGCCACCACTTTCCCACGGGGGCAACCTCTTCGAACGCTCATTCTCTTCTCCCCACCACACCCCGGCTCCAGGTGTCCCGAAACCCACTCGCTGCTGCAAAGACCACAGGGGACACACTCTTAAATGACACAAGCGTTTGAACAATTTTAACCTCCTCATCTTCCCTGTTTGAATTCAGAGGACCGAGATGCCAGCTCAACAAACCGTAGACCCAGCACCACCTGGCTCCCATCAGTCGGGGTGGGGTAGGCTGGACTGGGCAGGTCCACCAGGCAAGTGGCCTCTGGTGTCGGGCTCCGTATACGCGTGTAGCATCACACGGGCGTGCCTGCCACCCATGCACGTGTGCGCCTGGCTAGATCCTGAGCCACGGCCCTGGGTGAAGTGGAACAGGAAACACACAGGAGTGGCCCGCAACGGGCGCTTCTATCTGATTCTGTGCCTGGAGCTGAGACGGCTGCGGCCAGAACCCACCAGGAGCCCCCGCGGTACCTCCTTCTGCTGCCGCTCCAGCTCCTTCATGCGGATCTCCCGAGCCTCGGCGCGGGCTGCTCGCTTCGCCGCAAGCCTGGCCTCCGCCTGGAACAGACCAGAGAGCTCATTAGAGGACAGGCAGCCAGCGCGTTCCCGGGACACGGCTAGTGATGCTGCGGAGAGAAAACCTTGTTCCGAGTTTAACAAACAGAGCAATGAACCACAGCGGCGCCGGGTTTAAGAGGTCACAGGAGGGGCTGGTGCTGCAGTGCAGAGAGCCCAGCTGCCACTTGCGATGCCCCAGTCACAGCACCAGCTGGAGTCCTGACCGCTCCGCTTCTGCTCGGAAGATGGCCCACGTGCTTGGACCCTGCCACCCCAGTGGGATACCTGGATGGGGTTCCTAGCTCCTGGCTTGGGCCTGGCCTGGACCTGGCTGCTGTGGCCATTTGGGGAGTGAACCGGCAGATGGAAGGTACCTCCCTCCTACGCCCAGTCACCCTGCTTTTCAAATAAATCAATCCTTTAAAACAGTCACGGGAGTGATGACGGGAGTTCAAAGGGACTTCACAAAGTTCTTTCAAAAATGCAACTGAAAGATAAACTGATTTCGGTGGAAGGAAAGTTTGAAATACATGTTATTTTCCAGAAAGTTCATTTTCCGCGAGCTTTGGAAGACTTCTGGTTTGCATGGCTTTCGAAATTTTTTGCTCCAACATAAACATCTTCTAATTCCATTTTCCGTGCCCTCTGTGAGGGGTGCTATGCTGTGTGCCCCTCAGAACACTATCAGGCAGGTGCTGTTCCCACCCCCACACAGAGAGGTGAGCGCCCTGCCCACGCTCACACAGCCCACAGTGGCAGGGCTGCGCTGCCTGCTCCCTTCACGCCCGCACGGCAGAAGCACAGGACAGAGCACGGGCTCTGGCGCCACTGCAGGTCCCTCGGCTCCCCTCCCTCTGCTGAGCAGGAAGCGGAGGCTGCCAGACCCCGGGACTCTGACCCCGGCCTGCAGACTTCCTGTCCAGTCACCTCCTGCCACACCCTGCTGCCCTCAGCTTCCCCCTCCCCCAAGGAGAACACGGAGCCAGAGGAAGGCCACCGGCTGCTGCAGGCCTCCCGGGGTTCCCGTTCACTGCCCAGCGCTGTTCTGCCACGACCCCCGGGAGCTCTGGCCTTTGACCACGGCTCCCACACGCGGATTCACCACTCGGGCAGCACCCAGCACAGTACCGGCGCGCAGGCTTTGACCACGGCTCCCACACGCGGGCTCACCACTCGGGCAGCACCCAGCACAGTACCGGCGCGCAGGCTTTGAGCACGGCTCCCACACGCTGCTCACCACTCGGGCAGCACCCAGCACAGTACCGGCGCGCAGGCTTTGACCACAGCTCCCACACGCGGACTCACCACTCGGGCAGCACCCAGCACAGTACCGGCGCACAGGCTTTGAGCACGGCTCCCACACGGGCTCACCACTCGGGCGGCACCCAGCACAGTACCAGCGCAGGCTTTGACCACGCTCCCACACGCGGGCTCACCACTCGGGCAGCACCCAGCACAGTACCGGCGCGCAGGCTTTCTGCTCTCAAGCCCCACCTTGCTCCCACCAAAGCATTTTGGGAAGACCCCAGCCTCTCCACCCACGGTCCTCCCAGGCGCCACACTGCTCCCTGGAAAATCTCAGGACAGAGGCAGCCAGCAGTGCAATGCTAGGCTGAGCCTTTCTCCAAAGTCTGAGCACCCTGGGGAAGGTGCACCCAGGAGGTCGGTCCCAAGGTCAAGGACATCGCGCCCACCCTGCACTTATGCTGCACTGAATTGTAAATCCAGCTTCCTTCTCAGTCCTAAGTGGTCTCTGCAGCTGGCCTGCGTGTGGCCTGTGAGGAATTTATTTTATGACGTGCTTCGTTCACCAACACAGCCCTGCGGCCCTCAGACCTGGGCTTTGCTTCTGCATTGCTGGTGTCCACGTCCTGGACACGGTACCTTGTGCAGGAGCCTCTCGGGAAGATCCCAGAGCTGGGGGAGGGTTTGGGGAGGGGAGAGAGGCTCATCAGATTGACACTCGGCCACACTCACTTCCTACAGCCCCGCCACTGGGTAAGTGACTAATTCACACCAAGTGCAGCCGCCTCCCCAGCCCTTCCGGGGGAAGCACGAGGCTGGGCGCCCGCCGGTTCTGAGCCAGGCAGACTTTTCACAGCGCCTGACCCCTCCGGGAGAAATGGGGCGGGCTGGGGGGGAAGAGTGGGATAGAACAGTGAGAAAGTGAGAAACAAGACAGGGCCGGAGGAAGGGAGGAGCCACCCATGGGGGGCGGGAAGAGACAGAAGTGTGGGTGTCATAATCCCAGGGGGTCCCCAAGATTCCTGCCTCCTGGAGTACACACCCTGGATCCCCCCTGCCCTTGCGAGTATGCAGACTGTGGATAGGATGATGACACTCCCGATGAGGTCACATGGTATGTGTGCCAAGGTCCCCTCGTCAGCTTGCTCTGGGTTGAGCAAGAGGAAGGCTGTGTTTGCTGGGTCTGCCCTAGCCAGGCGAGCCCTCCGAGATGTGGTCTGCAGGTGGGAGGCCCTCGCTGGCCCCGAGGAAGCAAGCTGCCCCAGGCAGAGGCCTGCGAGGGGGGTCTACAGCCCACAGGTGACAGCCAGCAGGAACAGGGGACCCAAGTCCTACAAACACAAGAACTAAATTTTGCAAGAGTCACATGAGCTCAGAAGAGGACCCCAAACTCCAGAGAGGTCCCAGCCCAGCTGGGCCTTGTGAGCCCCGAGCAGGGGACCCCCAGGCCCTGAGGGGTCACAGTGCATGCTGTTGTGAGTGTGCAGTTAGCTCCGACCGGGCATACGCTCTGGCTAACAGGAGGTGGTGAGGGCTGGGACGAGGCCCTGGCACCTGCTCGCCTCCTGGTCCAGCACTCTGGGTTAGTGCTGACTGGGACTGGGCCAAAGGCCCTGGGACAGACCACCTTCCTGAGCAGGTGTGCTGCCGCCTGGGGCTCCCCCCATGCCTGTCCGACCCCAGCCACGCTTGTGGGCCAGCCCTCCCCTAGCAAGAGGCTGCCCTCATGGCTCCCTTCAGCCCGCCTGTCCTCTCTACCCTCACAAGCTGAAAACTGACAGCCCTCGCTGTAAGGGGCGGGGCGGGGCTCGGCAAAGGAGCCACAGAAAGACAGACGCTCCTCCTGGGGACAGAAGCAAGCCAACCCCAGGACAGGCGGACCAGGTCGCCTCTCACCCTGGAGTTCACAAAGACAAGTTTGCGACGCAATCCAGTTTCAAATCCGTACAGTCCCGACCTCCCGCAGCACTCCTCTCTCTCAGGAGCCTCACGTGACTCAGGCGTGACTCAGGCGTGACTCAGACGTGACAAGCAATGGGCTCCTAATACAGGAGGCGATGGCGACCGTTGTGTGGCCTGGAATCTGCCTGCCTCCCCACCAACGGATATGTGAGCCAACGCTGAAGCTGGGGCGAAAACCTATCCCAGCCTCCTCACGGACCCAAAACTGCATGCTCATTGTCTGGACAGGGGCCTTCCGTGACCCCAGTGGCTCCTGAATTGGCACTCACTAGGGTCCACCTCCCTTCCTCTCTCTGCAGGAGCCCACGGGGAACATGAGCCACAAGGCCTGGGTTCTCCACACCCCACACTCACAGGGCTCCAGGCACGGGGGGACCCTGGGGCCCACCTCCTCCTCCACGGTCCGACACCACCTGGGCTGAGACAGACGCTGAGCATTAAGGGACAAAATCAGATCTCTCTGGTCTGTCATAAAATAACCTGGGAGGGAGACAGGCAGAGCAAATGGCCCTAGGGGGACACCTGGGGGGCTGGGCTGTAGGGACAAGGGTCACTTAGCAGCAGGCACATCTCCTGGAGAACCTGTGAGACGTGCAGCCCTGACTCAGCTCCACCCCGCACTTGCTGAGTCAGAGCTCAGGGTGGGCCCAGCATGTGGGCTTCCACAGGCCCCCGGGGGCACTGACACTGGCTCGAGGGTGAGGACCCCTGTTGTGTCCCCAGGTGTCCATCTCTGTGCCGGGGTTTTTGGCAGTTTTTCACAGTGAATTGTAAAAATTTAAGAAGGGAATGACGTCGCCCTAAACCTAAAGCCACACCCTCGGCTGTGGTTCTGCTAGTACCCGCTGCAGTGTTGTGCCAGCCCTGTCTGCACCCACGCCTGTTCTAGCTGCTGCCTGGGGGGTCAGGGTGGGGCAGAGAGAGGGGGTGGGCACGGCCAAGTGCCCCCAAGGAGCTTCTCAGCATCTCCCCCAGCTGCTGGCCAGAGCGCGAGTCCCACCTTCCCTTGTAGGGGACACAGCCCAGCCCAGGCCCGGGGTCCCCTAAGGAGTTTTACAGCCAGGGCTGGTGCTGGTAAGCATCTGTCTGTGAAGCCAGCATCCCATATGGGCACCGGCTCAAGACCACGCTGCTCCATTTCCAATCCAGCTCCCTGCTAATGTGCCTGGGAAAGCAGTAGCAGATGGCCCAAGTGCTTGGCCCCTGCACCCACGTGGGAGACCTGGAAGAAGCTCCTGGCTCCTGGCTTTGGCCCGGCCCAGCCCTTGCTGTTGCAGCCATTCGGGGAGTGAACAAACAGGTGGAAGACTTCTCTCTCTCTCTCTCTCTCTCTCTCCTTCTCTGTCTGTAACTCTACCTTTCAAATAAGTAAATCGTAACAATAATAAAAGAACTTTACAGCCACTGAGCTTTAAAGCAAGGCAGCTGAGGGTGGGCACCACGGGGAAGAAAAGCTCTCACCACACCTGCCTCTTCACAGTAAGGCACAGAGCTGAACCTTGGCCAGTCATTTTACCACGCAGAGACGTGACAGCGCTCTGCTACTGATGCGCTGGGAGACAGAGGTGCACACAGGAAGCACAGCTTCCGGGCCTCTGGGTCTCCCAGTCCCCGTCTACAATAGGGGGCCCAAGGCTGTGGGGGCACCTCTACGGGGGTGCACCCGCCAGGTGTCCGGCTCCCAGACTGGCAGGCAGAGTGGGCAGCTGCTTCCTCCAGGCTACACGGTCCTGGGTGTGGTCTCTAGGGCCAGGCTGGAGAAGCCGTCATCCCGGGTCATAGACAAACGCATG